TACGCACTTGGCATAGGTAGCCTTAGCAGTACCTCGAACAAATACCAACTACCGCAAAAAAACTATTATTATTTAAGCGAGTAGATCTGTAAATCTGTTAGATTTCCGAATAAAATAAAAAATAATTTAGACTGATACATAATTTGTGTAACCCGAATGATCTTTGGGTAGGCCTAGCTTACAAGACCTGTACAAACAATTCTATTAGGTGCGACGTGGGCTTATTCAGACATTAATGGCGGATTAATGACAGTTATAATACGTTACGAGAAATGCCAATCAGGGTTATCAGAAAAACCGCACTCGCGTATAGATGTTAGCACAAATTAGAATGCACGTGCCACCATTAGGAGAAAATACCTTTTCGTGTCGTGGGTGCTCCATCAAAATAGAGCTTCATTTATTTGATATGAAAGTTACTTTTTATCCGATAGTCTTATTAATTAGAAGATTGAGTTGCGAAGTTTAGAAAGAAAAATTAATTAAACAAATAACAAGGCAAAGTTCTTTGGGTCAAAAATAATTGTGAAAAGGGATGGAACCCTTTTATGGGTCACTAGATTTGTTTTAAATGTTTTAATAATAAGAACCTGACACATCCCACACACGGCCGCCTGATCTCAAATTAGGTAGACCCTGTGCTGTGATAACCAGAGATTTAATAAAAATTCTTATATTTTTCTGAAAAACGTACTTAAGATAAATTTACACCCAGACACATTAATAACAGTTCACATCACACAATAATTTGTCCTAGTTGGGAATTAAACCTACGTCCTCTGGTTTAGCAATTAGGATCATTACCAACTAAACCAATAAGTCAGCTAATTAAATTATAAAAGAACTCTTTTTCTACGCCACGATTATTAGTAATATACTTTAATATTGATAAAATAAAACTATGGTGTACAAAAATATCTACTTAGTTAAATAACAGCATAAAGAGTAGTGTTTTGTTTTCTGGAGTGACACTATTGAAGGCTAAAGGCTATACCTGCTAGACTGCCTCGGTGGCACAGTGGCAGCGTATGCGACTGCTGTTCTGATGTTTCGGATTCGATTCCCGGGTCGAACCGAAAGTTTGTATGCTAGGCAAATATTTGTTTCGGAGTTTGGGTAAAAAAAAGTATATACTCGTAGGTAACCTATCAGTCAATCCAGCTTTCATAGTACAAGCTCTGCTTAGTTTGAAACTAGGTGGGGTTTGTGTGTTAAATGTCCGAAATATTATTATTATCATACCTACCGATTATTATTACATACACTTTTTAAAAATCAATAAATGAGACCATACATTAAAACAAAACAACTACATATAAACTAACATATAAATGTTATGTTTAATTTTTAGTTGTTTTAGGGTTAAACATTCACACTTACAATATTACTATTAAAAACACATTTTTAATTTACCATTGTCTACATTATTCTTTAGATTAGAATGACAAATGAGGCCTACAATATCGCTTACAAAATCATATCTAACTACTGAATACCCTTTTTTTTTCCATGCCGAAATCCCCTCGGATACCACCTATCGGTGGCATGTCGGACACCGTCGCCGCACGCCGTCTCTGGTTCTAATAGCCGGGGAACCAGGTATAACCCTAGAAAGGAAGTCCTTGGTGCTCAACTACTGAATACCCTATATTTAAGATGTAGTTAGATAGACCATCAAACGGTTAACAGACCAACAAATGACGTAACTCCTTGACTATTCCTACTGTCATTTCTTAAATTTAAAAATAAATAAATTTATTTAAGTTTACTAAAGTTGACTTAATGATCTATGTGGGTGGAGCGTTCACAGTCAGCCATCGATCTTGAGACACGCACTTAATTTACTTATGTTCTTCGCCTCATTTGAATTTGTTCGTCAGGTTTGCTAATGGCGACCACGCTTGCGTAATCCATACAAATAATTTTACCAAAAATTAAATCAAAACACAGCAAATATTTCTAAAAAAGTGTACTCCATACTTAGTCTATTGATTTACCTAACAGCTTAAGTCCTCAGAAAAGGTAACTTCGTTTTTTTTATCTTTGAAATAGTATCACATGTTTTCAGGATAGTTTAGTACTTTTTGTTTGAATCTAGCATTGACGTAAATAGAAATTATACATTACAAAAAGTGATTAGTATAAAATGGTATACCTTTATTTACGTAATGGCGGATGCCTAGCACAGTTGCCTAGTTTTTCATGTCTGTAATAATGACAAAGTTGATTAACTAATCGATAAACAACACAGACAGTCTAAATTGATTAATTCGAAGGTGAACAAATTAGACAATATAATATACTAAAACACAATACCTAACTAAGAAAAAAAGCAGATGCCACTAACGCAACTTCATAATGATAGTACAAGTTTATTTAATACTAGCTGGTACCCGCGACTTCGTTCGCGTGGAATTTGAAAAGCGCTGCCTTGGTGGGTTCGATTCCCGGACCGGCTAAAATTTAAAAAAAAAAATCTGAGAGGAAAAATAGCCTAAATTACACCTTATAGTAAAATATCATTAAAATCGGTCCAGCCGTTTATAAGATTGCCCTTAATAAACAGACAGACAGACAGAATAATAGTCTGAGCATTAAAAAAATCTATTATTTTGACATTACAAACAGTTACTTCAATTTTACTAGTAACTTTTTAGTAACTCCAACCCACAAACATGTAGACACACATAAATACTCACTCACTCAAGTTTTAAAAACTTCAATGTTGTCATGCACAATATGCAAATAATTGCCGTTAATTAAAGATAAAAAAGTTTAGAAGTATTGAGAGGAAGAGACGGAAGCAGATATTGTTTATAGGGATGAGTAAACAATAGTCAAAGCATTTACGCATGGAGTTATATCTATAAAAATGAATTCATAAATAATTTACTAATTTATTAAATAGACAATGTTAATTTCTGTAAATTTTTGTTCATGTCTTGTGACTAAAACTTACATTTGTAAGAGTACGTATTATAAATAATCATTTTTCATATAACAAGGAGAAGTATCTCGATTAGGATGAACCAAATCTAAGTAGCAAGTATTTAAAGGTATTGTTTAAAATAACCACTAAACATAATTGTAAAAACTGTTAGCACACCTATGATGTTAAAAGTTTTGGAGTCATTTTGTTTTTGCTGACCCTATCAAACTATATGCTTTACGCTGTTATAGCAAAAAACATTATTTATTACTGGTCTATATTCTCTATGAAGGGTGGTTCATTTTAGAGCTGAAGAGCTTTTTGCTTCTTTCTTATCATAGACTAACATTAATAAATCACCTGTCTTACATAAAGGCTAACAATTTAATGGTATATTCTTTGAGGTTGACTCATCATGGCTGAATGGAATAAGGTGAATTATCTTTTCTTTTTTGAAAACAACTCAACAAACTACAACAGTAGGAATAAATCCAGTATTGGTAAATATTTTTATATATGTATATAAATGTTAAGTTGGTTTTGGTTTGTGTACGCATTAAAAACTCAAAAAGTACTGCACCGATTGAGTTCAAACTTTTACACGCTATACAAACAGCTTCAAAGATTGTTTTTATCTATTTCTCGCATCAGTATTGTTTCTCATTTCTCATCAATTCAACCACAATGTGACACAGCGAATATTCAAAAATTTCCCCCAATAATCGTCCGTCGAAATATCGTCCAATCGTTCATTCTAATGTATGATTCTTTAATATCTAAATTGATACGTAAGTAACAGGTATTAACATGAAACCCTCAACTTACAAGGTATCCACCAAGGATCGATACTGAAGCTTATGAGTCATACTCACAATAATATCTCCGCCCACCTTTAAAATAACTGTGGGATCTTGGCACTGAATTTTTAGAAGGGAAATTTCCTACAACGAGGTAGTAACTTACTTATACTTTAAGTTTAAGGAACATTTTGTCATGTTGACCTTCTGAAACAATTAATTATTATTACTTTTATCTGTGGATGCGATTTCAAACTCTGCTTATTGCAAATATGTATTTGTATATTATTTAGTATATTTTAATTAATTTAATATATATCTAAATAAATATAAAAAAATTACCATTTTAAATGCTATCCGTGTAGCCTAGTACATAACAGTCCAAATGCTTACGATTTAAAATATAAACTAAATATAATTTTGATGACGTAACTATTTCTGTAACTATGTATCATTTCTATATTAAATTGAAATAACCTCAAGTATAAATTGTTTTTATTTTTTCAAACCTATAGACTTGACTTTAAAACTATTTATGAGATGGACCGTGTGGTGTTGCTGTATTTAATACTTCAGGCATTTAAATAAAAAAATATAGATCTAAAAATATTGTTTCTTGATCTATTTTTTCACTAAAGCTGATATCTTGACACACTAAGTACAACCTATTTATGTTACGGCCTATAATGCTGTAAGTAGGTCACTTCTATATTCAGATACATGAATAATTAAATGAACGCTATGAACTACAACGATAGCAATTTGGAAGCAGGTTGTAATAATAACTGTAGCTGTAGCACAATAATTATTATTACTACATGTTATGCTGTGGGAGACTGGAGCCTATATTTCAGGCATCAGGGTATTTTCTCCTTAATTGGATACATTTCTACTAAGATTCTGTCAGCGCTTTTGTCATTTGGGTGTGGTCGAACCGTTAGAGAGTATATATGTACTTTATTTATTCCAAAGGGGTTTATTGCAAAATCATCCCATTTAAATTTTATATAGATATAATGAAAAGTTTCGGCGGCAGACAGCGGAACTCTTCAAAAAATGACAGCAAATCAACCACGATTGCTGCTAAATTTTTAGTGCTCTTTGTTAGTATTGTTTGAAGTCGGTTCAAATTTTTTTAAGACCGATTTTCTTGTACAAATATGACGACAAAATTGTCATTTCAACTTTCTACAGAACGTACTATTTTGACTTTTACGTATATATTTACTTAGTTACTTAGAAGGTTACTTAGAAGTTAATTTTTTTGTTTCCAGGATGTGGCGTTCATAAATCCAGCCAACGTGGTGTTCGTCTACATGCTGGTCCGCGAGCTCGTCGACGGCGAACGGATAGCGCGTCCACAAGAGCTGCAGGCTGTTGTCCTCACCTGCCTCTACCTCTCCTACTCCTACATGGGCAACGAGATCTCCTATCCGCTCAAACCCTTCCTCGTTGAAGACTCTAAAGATAAGTTCTGGGATCGCTGTTTGCTCATTGTCGACCGTCTTTCCTTTAACATGCTGAGGATCAACTCTGAGCCGGGCTTCTTTACTGAAGTGTTCACGGAGCTGAAGGCTTGTGGTGTGGTAGACAGCCCTCCCCCCGCCCCGTCTCACCCCGCGCCCGCGCCTCCTCACGCCCTCACGGCTGCCTGACATACAGAGGTAGCCGTCCTCAGGTTGGCGCTCACAGATCGCCCAAGCCGTGTTTGATGTCGGCTTTTGACAGTTGAAGCTCTTGGTCAATCGTCCTCGATTTAAGGGCAGCATGTCTTCTTTGGTCGGTGCTCGGATTGAGGTGTTGACTTCTCAAATTAGTCAACATTTAATGTGTGTTATATGATACAGCTACGGCGTAGACATCTAAACCTCTACGTCGTAGAGGTGTTCGTACTATATTTCGGCCGTATAATAATTGTTAACGTGCCCCAAATAAGTGTTATAATTTAAGTGCAATACATTCTAGTCACATGTTACTATTATTTATAGTTAATGAAGTTATCTATTTAGAGATCATATCCAAATTAGTAATATTACTAAGTTTTTTTTTATTCAGCAATGCATGCAAGTATGCTCAAGTAAAACAAAAGCTTTATTCGAAATCGATATTATAACAATCGGGTCTGAGCACACTGGATATTAATTCGCTGAATTGTAATTCAGCGCATTCGTTCAAAGAAGCAGGGTGATTAAGGCGGCAGGAAGAAAATTATCGCGATTGACCAAGACTTAATATGTCAATGCTAAAATCCGGCGAGTGAGAGGTAACTATTAAAAAATACGAATTATGTATCCGTATACATAGTCGAAATATTATGACTTTGAATTATTCTCGAAAGAATGTGATATGTCTAGGAAACATCACTTTTTGACGTCAGTTTATGAATTCTTAACATCGTGAAATCATTATATGGTTAAAAGACTACGTTTCAATTGCAAGATCGCCACAGAATTTTACCTAGATGGAGATACATAGACACTGGTGATTAATAAAAGAATAGTAATAGTAGAATCTGGCATCAATCTCTTAATTTTGACGTTTGATTCTCGTTTGTTTAACGTCAAATTTGACAAATGCGAATACATTGCTGATGTAAACAGATTGATAAATTACATGTATAGATTTGGTCAAACTCACAATGTAGATTACCTACTGTCACTTTTGCGAATTTAAGATCGGAAATTAAGAAGACGGTTGAATGGGAAAGGTCAAGAAGAGAATGTTATGAAATAATAAACTAAGCTTTAGCAGGTGTGAGTTGCATATTTGTAATTGGAAGTGGTTGTTGCTGCGACTGACCAACTCAAATAACTATTAATGCAGACCGTACCTAGTGTAGGATGTCAACAGGCCAGGTGCAGTGATGATTAGCTCAATATAGCAGGAGGCAGGAGTTAGATGTGGGCAGTCGCAAATCGATCGAAATGGCGTGCAATGGGGGAGGCTGATGATGATGACTGCATGTCAAAAGTATCTTAGTTTCATTCATACATACGTAGTACGTTCATACTTAAATCGATTTTCTAAATGATCTGCTTACGTTCTGAACCATACGTACACTTGCAAAAGTCGTTAAATATTTGAAGAGAAGTGTTGCTTTATTTTATTGTTTTTACTAGTTTTTTATTTGTAGCAAAATATGGTATTAGATAATAAATTATGCGAAAGAAATTATTAGCTAAGGACTCGTTGATATAATTGTTCTGCTCTCGTGACGTCTACTCTACTTAATAAGGGGTCGCCCCTTTATGAGGGAGAGACCGTATCCATCGGCACGCACATTACAAGACATCACGTTGTTGTTGAAATGAAGTGTTGTTAAAAATTTCCTTTCCTTTTTACATTATGAAGAAACGTTTTTAAAGACATTTTCAAATACAAAGACAGTGTAGAACGTAGATCTTGTGAATTTCAGCTTTCAAGGCAATAAGTAGCATCAATTTTTAACCTTGTTTGTAACAGAGTCTTTTGAGTCTTTCTACTTGAATATTACTTACAAGATTATTGAATTCCCTAAGTAATAAACAAGTAAGCGTGATGAATATATATAAATATGGTGTTTTATAGAGCTGATTCACACATTATTAAGTAACAATTCGTAGTCAATAACATAAATAAACCTGAGGCTGAGAACGTGACGCTACCTCTCGCCCAATTGTCGTTTAGTTGGTGGTTATTGTTAGTGCAGCTCTTTATGGAAACGTGGCGTATCAACCATATTCCCAGTTGTTGTGAACTGCACTTTCATTGTATGTTCGTAAAGTAGGTAATTGTCTGGTACGTTATTTTCTCTAGCCGCTATACCAGCGGTATCTTAGTCCAATAGAACAGCGGTTAGTTAGGAAGATAAGAGTTTCGTAAATGTAGTGAAATGAACTTATTGCCATATAGTTAGTCGATATTAGGGAAAATGTTTGGCAGGCGGGAGGATGCAATAAAGCGGGTACTCCGTCATATAATCTGGTAAACCCTTCTATGAAGTGTACGTATTAAATTTATGGCCGGCTCAAAGCGCGGAACGACTCGATGGTTTTATTGAGGTGATGAAATGTGTTAACAAATAGGTCAAATTTTGCGAATGAATAAGCGTTTTGTACAGAAAAATAAATCGGATAAAATAATACCACTTAAGTCTTAACCTTTAGCATAGTTTAGACAAATCGACGGAAGGCATTAAGCCTGAATGACACTCGGACTGTTAAGACAGTTGCGATATGTTATTTTTAAATCTTAAAAGAGGCTATTCACTGAAGCACTAGTCGATACGCTGTTAAAAAGCCTAATGTTCAACTTTCATCTGAAAATCTTCCTCAGTAAATAGCCAATTTTAAACGAAGTGAATATTTCATTCATTGTATCGTCATGTTTTATGGTGTTAATTTATTGAAGTTCTAATTATCCAGCATGAGTTAGCTCTCAGGAGTAATCACTTCTGTAATTGAATAGCTTAATATATGAGCTAGTTTTACAGGTCATAGCTCACCGTTGCCTCGCCGAGTGTCGTAGTTAAGTAAAATTGTTTAGCCGAGTGAATGTCAGAGTGATCACATGTTAGTATTTAATGATATAAAAAGAAATCTCATAAATCATTAAAAATTAGATAAAAGTAGATGACTGTGATGTTTTGAATCTTAACTTGTGTTTGTAATCATTATTTGTTTTGTTACAACTTTATTTAAACGCAATTATTGTTATATTTATGATTATATAAGATTATTTATAAATGCTATTTTTCTTTTCTTCTAAGAAATTTAGGTACGATTGTGACGCCGTCTATACAATAAATTATTTATACAAGAAATTTATATAATTATTAGTAAGTGTATTATTTATTGAATTATGATGCTTTTTAATCATTTATATCTTACATATTTTATTGTTGCGGTTCTTATAAGTTGTTTTTTTATTTTAGATATACGTAGATTACAAGTTATTTTGATCTCTATTTTAATTATGGGTAAGCATATGAAATAGCTGTGGCAACATTCCAATTACTCAATATTTAATTCAGGTAAGGCCAGATACAATTTAATGTCGAATTTCGATGATCTCTCTTAAGATATTATAGCGTACGGTATGATATGAAGTGTGGATGTGTGTAATATTACTCGAAAGGTATTACTGGTCAAATACCTCTTCTTACATTATTCATGTAACTCACGTTTGTTAATTAATCTATTGTAAATATACCCAATTATTAAAAAAACTTTCGTATATATATTACTGTTGTTTTATTTTATAATATTACCCACGTAGAAGTGTTCGGACATGTTATAAAGCAGTCATTTCCAGAGCACGCAGCGACAGCTGAATACATTATCTTTAATTATACGAGTATCTAAAACACCCCTGACACACCAACAAAATAATTGAATCAAAATCAGTTTTTTTAAGACAACTCCCGCACTAGGAATATATCCTGTGTCACGGGGGACTTTACAAACATACATGAAAATGACGCAAAGAACACCCAGACTCTGAACAACAATTTGTGAATCACGAAAACCCACAACACGCAGCGCAATAAGAAGCAGCAAGGTGACCGCCTAAATCAGTAAGCCGTGCAGTGGAACTAACTTAATCAGTCATGAACTAACTTCATCAAAGTTGGATGCACCTATTTTGATCGGCGTTGCGATTTGCCCGCGATAAAATCTTCACTAATCACAACACCAAACGCACTCAATGTCGAGAGTGAGTTAATGTGAAATAAACTCGCACTTGGCCTTCAGATATAATATACGTCTTATTAAAAAACTCCTTTCTAAGGAGAGGCCTATGTCCAGAAGTAGACTATTAAAGGCTGTTGATGTGTTGTGATGTGATATTAAAAACATTAGTCCTTTTTGATTCCGGGATTAATAGTTCGCAACATCAAGGGTGAAAAACTACGGTACCTTGTTTCGTATCACGAAATGCAAATGTTATAGATATTCTGCAGCATTTGCATTTTCTCTTAAATCAAATTTCTATACTTTCTATGCATTGTAATACACTAATTAGTATGAAAAGCAATAAATTTAATAATTAGTCCTGGTACAAACCATATGGAAATAGTAATATTTATTTTACACGGCTGGTCAAAAAAAAGTCTAATGTAGCAGTAGTATGCATGATTGAAACAGTATCAATTCATGGTGTATATTAGAAATTGTTCATAGCCGCTGTAATAGTAGACTTAAGCAGTTCAACAGACTACAGTTTCTTTTGAAAGTTAGTTGTCAATAGTATAGGCGAGAAAAAGGTTCGTTATTGACTAAGGCAGCAGCGTCTTTGGAAGTACCTAACCTCTTTCATCGCGAATAGTAGGCACAATATGTAGGAACTTAGCAGAATCATAGACAATACCGGTTAAGTCTGCCTAAGAATCGATGTCTCAGTGAAAAGAACATAAGAAAACTGAAGATTATTATGAACTAAGCTCTTGAATAAATTCCTTCAAGACGATGAATTCACAACCTGGAGACGGCTGGTGCCTTGATTGTATAGAAGGCCTGCTGTTATGACTTAATACATGTGTAGGTGTAATATAAATAAATATTAATTGACAATATCGTAGGTATACGGTAATCTATGTATGTAGAACTGCTGATTTTATAACATGCAACTCATATTCACATTAAACTTTAAAAAACGATGCAAATGCAAATTACGTGCAGATTCCTTCATTTTAAATCGAAAAAAATTAATTTACCTCACACCGAAATCGGAAAGTGAAGACTGTATTAGTAGAGGTAATGGAAATTTTAATGTTAGCTGGTCATGTACAAAATTTGAATTTAAAAAAATCTAGTATCTAAGATCTAATACTAAATGTACTGAACTTAAGTTAAGAGGGCAAAGTGTAACCCAACATTTACATTCAAGAAGCTTTGTGAGCCAACTTTTTTTATCTTTGACTTCAGAGACGTTTAAGTATATTTTTTTCTTGAGCATATTTGCTCTGATGTACCTAATGAATCTTTTAAAAAAATCTCCTTTCTAAGGAGAGGCTTCTGGACATAGGCCTCTCTTTAGAAAGGAGATTTTTCTTATTATATATTATTTTTTTATCTTATATATATTTTTTATTCAGTGGACTATAGAAGGCTGTTTATGATTATGATAATGATGAATAATTTTTGATACTTAAAAAACTTCATGAGTACTATTTTTTTATTTTTTTATTCTATTGTTTTATTTATTAAATTAACTAATTTAATACGTACTTTAAAACTTCACTTTAGGTATGGGAGTTGAAGGGTACAAGAGAAGAGGAAGACTAAAGCATAAAGAAAAAATAGATAGACTGTTTGAGAGAGGATATGGCTAGGAAGGGAATATATAGTGGAATGACAAACGATAGAGTAGAATGCAAGAATAAAACATATTTCGCCTACCCCAAATAAAATTGTGATAAGGTAGACAGATGATCAGTGGCGGATTTACATATTCATAGGCTATTAAGTTATCACCACCCCTGCCCTACACTGAAATACCTTTTTTTTTCAAAATTCCCTCTAATAAGTCATTCCAAATGATTTTTGAACGATCCAAGGACTGTCTTAAAAGGTATCAATACCATTGCAAACAATCGATGAAAAAGAACAGTAAACGTAAATACTCAAGTGTCAATGTCAATTTTGACATGTCAATAAATGCAGTATTACTATTTTTCAAATTGAAATACTGTGAAAACTACATTCAAAATATTATGGTTATTTGTATTCACTTCACATTTACCTGAAGAGTAATATACAAATAATCAAAGTTTAATGTTGATTTATTTTGCTAGACCACAGTGAGATTCTAGCTGGAGTTATTCTGAATTTCGTAAAGTTACCGGCAAAATGAGTGACTATCCAGATCCTGACGAGGAATATGAGCTAATGTACGCAGATGAGCTGGAAATGATAAACGAAGAAGAACCTCGCTCAGGTAATTCTGCAGGTTAAGAACAAGAATGAAATTCAAACTTTAGGTTAAGTAATGCAATAATAGGCCTCGGGGTTCTTTAGTTTCTGAAATAATTTGTGGTATTGGTTTTAAGACAGACAAACCGAAGAAAAAACCAAACTAAAAGTGTCATAAAACAGCTTAAAATAAGAACCAATGTTAAATTAAAACAATCCTGCTTTTAAGCTTGAAATTTCTCAAGATGATGCAATTACAGTATTTGTAGAATTGAAATTTTAAGTTAATCTCTATTAAAGGTATTTTTAAACATGAGATTTTAAATTTGGGAGTTTATTACAAAACCTAGCTAAGTTTAGTTACTTAGCTAAGTTTAGTACTTCTTTAAAGAATTCTTTTATAGTAAAGGGCATTTAATTAAAATTTAATTGTTTTATTTAAATTTTCATACTCTACACAAAAAAAAACATTATAGTCTCCTAAATGTTTGATAATTTGCTCAAGATAGCTGGCAGAGTTGGATGCGAGAAGCCAAAAATCAGCAGTGTTATTAGCATAGTACAGGGTCTGCCTAAATAGGAACAGACTAAGTTATTAATAATAAGTTATTACTTATCTAAAATTATATCTTCTTTTAACTTCAACACAGAAATGTTCAAAGCTTTTTAAAAAGAAGACATTAATACAATTTCAGATGCGAAAGTTGTGAGAAAAAAACCACTACCAGCAAAAAGGAGTCTCGATTTTTCAAGTCCCTTCACCAACAACACTTTAAATAGTTTAGATGTAAACAATGTTCCTACTCCATCCACCATTCCTGTAGATCCACCTGGCTCTGAAGAAATTACCCTCACACCTACCATACCGTTAGAAGATCTAACTCCTTCAACAAACAAGAGAACTGCGTATGAACTGTTTGGAGACATTGAAGATATTGATTTCAATGAAATGGAAATGCCAAGTAAAAAACAAAAGACTGAGGAAGAAGTAGATTTAGATTTAATAGAAAAGATTTTAGAGGGTAGGAGATTAAAGCAGATTCTAGCAGAACCAAGTAGTAGATTACTTGCTAATAAATGTAGTTATAATGTTAAAGATAATTTATCATTGGACATACCAAGGTATGTAGTAGGTTTTAATTATAAACTTACTATAATAGATTACTGCTTCGTTGGTGCAGTGGTAGTGTGTGCGACTGCTGTTCTGAGGTCTCGGGTTCGATTCCCAGGTTGGACCTAATGTTTGTATGATCTGCAAATATTTGTTTCAGAGTTTAGGTGTTTTCTATGTATAATATGTATGTATTCACAAAAAAAGTAAATAAGTATTTTATCAGTCAATCTAGCTTTTATAGTACAAGCTCAGCTTAGTTTGAAACTAGATGGTGTTGTGTGTCAGTATTACAAAATTCCTACTTAGTAAAATTTTTCATGTCTCATATACGTAAGATAGATTCCACAAAAATACTGAACGAGGTTACTACATTTATTTATTGTTCCGTAAACGAACATGTTTTTTTTTCAGTTCATTTATTTGTTGAAATTAACTGCGTTCAATTGCGTTTCAAATTATTTTTAATGATAAGTGATACTATGCTGATGACTAATGATAATATACTATTTCAAACTCAAAATGTCTTTTCTCAAAATTTTATAATTGTTTGAAATCGTCTTTTATGTAGACTCTAAAGTCATAGTTGAAATATTTAGCAAAATAAATAAACTAAAATTATACCTATTGAGTAGTAGTAGTTCTTAATATTGATTTACAACACAACCTATAGCAAGAACACGTTCGAAACATTATCAAAGAGAACTATTTCTTAATATTCCAGATGGGCTTTCATGCCACTTACAAACTCAGATGGGGACCGTGTATATGTAAGGTTTGAATCGGAAGAATCATGGGAGAAATCGTTAGACTCCACTACTGAACAAACTTCATTACATGCTACATATGCTAACATTTGGGTAGAAGCGCGTAAAATTGTAAGTATACATGGTATTTTTTATGTTTTTAGAATTTTGGAACGCCAGGGCCCGAGGTATGTCGGGGCACCAGGGACTTTCTTTCTAGGGTATACGTGGTTCTCCGGCTATTAGTATCCGAGACGGCGTGCGGTTTTAGTCGATTCAAGTCCGACATGCCACCGTGGTATCCGAGGGGATTTCCGAACGGAAAAAAAAGAAAAAACGAAAAAAAAAGGTGCATAGAGGGAGCAGAAAACTTGGGACACCTATTTATGTATTTGTAGGTAATTTTTGTGTTAGTTTGTATTTTTTGTAAAGTCATAATGTCTATTTGGTAACTGATTGATCTGAACTGGCACAGAATATAAAAGAATGGCTCATTTAATGTCGGAGGCTAAGACACATTTTGGACACGTTATTACGAAGAGATTATCATCACAGTTGACACCTCAACATTTCCTCAATGTCTCACTCTACCACCTTATTGGTATTGGTATTGGTTGTGGGCCTCGGTTTCCGCATTTAGACTCAGAGTGGTCCTTTATGCGTCGGGGATTGGCTGACTAGGTGAGCCAGCCAAGCTCCTTCCAGAAGCGCAGAAGCCTCCTGGGGCGTTCACAGGCTTCTAGGAGCGACTTTATATCAGGAATGATATTTGCCCGTTGTGTGGCCACTCCCTCGCATTCCAGGACTACGTGGGCGGCCGTTTCTTCAGCTTCCAGACACCCCCTGCACAGGGGGCTGTCCGTCGCATTGACTATGAATAGTTGTCGGTTCAGGGCTAGATGTCCTGTAATAGTTCCGACAACCATTCTGATGTCCGGTCTGCTAAGACTGATCAGTCTGCAGGTGAGTCGTGGCGTGACTTGATTCAGCACCAGTTTGGACTGTCTGCAGCCGGGTGAGTTTTTCCACCTCCGGTTGTGTGCTTCACAGGTCCGTTGCCTGACCCAGCATCGTATTTGGTTAAACGATATGGGCAGAAGTGGGGTTGGGCCAGAGGTTGGGGTTGCCGATCCCCTCCTTGCCAACTCATCTGCGGCATCGTTCCCGTGTGAGTTACTGTGCCCTTTAATCCATTGGAGAAGTACCCCATTGAATATAGCGAGCTGTTCCAGTGCTTGGTGGCATTCGAGGACAACACCAGAGGTCATTGTGTTGCCCTCCAATGCCTTTAAGACGGCCATGCTGTCGGATATTATTCGGATGTTGTAGTCCTTGATACCCCTTGACATGGCCGTTGTGGCGGCGTAAGTTATTGCCACACATTCACATTGAAATATGGAGCTGTGTTGGCCTAACGCTAGTGATATGTTTATATTTAGGTCTTGCGAGAAAACTCCGGCTCCAGTTCCTGACCTAGTCTTGGAACCGTCCGTGTAAATTCGGACTTCGTTAATGCCGGATTGATCACGGTCATTTCCATGTATCTGGATGTAGTATCTTCTTGTGAAGATATGGTGTTTTGGGATTCTATCGCATGGAGCTGCTATCAGTGGTTCGTATTCCACCAATTGATCCCATAATTTAGAGTGCGATCCCTCCCTTTTGTGCCATAGACCCAGGTGTTTGAGTCTAATGATCGCCATGGCGGCCTCCTGCTGTATGAATAGATCCAGGGGTGGCAGACCAAGAGCCACCTCCAGTGCGGCAGTAGGCGTTGTGCGCATACAGCCAGTGACCGCGGAGCATGGGAGTCGCTGGAATTGCTGCAGTTTGTTTATGACGGTGCTTAGCTCTGTTCTCTGCCACCAGACAACAGCACCGTAAGTGATTATTGGTCTTATGACTGTCCTGTATAGCCATAAAGTAATTTTGGGTGATAGTCCCCAGCTTTTGCCGAGTAGCCGCTTGCATTGGCAGAAAATAATGCAGGCTTTATTCAGTTTTTCATCGAGGTGCTTATTCCACAGGAGTTTACTGTCCAGTATTACTCCAAGGTATTTGACCTCTTTGGTAAGAGTAAGTTGTGTTCCAAATAGCTTGGGAAGTCTGAGATTTCCTAGGCTGCGTTTGTTTGTGAACATGATCATCTCTGTTTTGGATGGGTTCACTGTCAGGTTGTGTGCTGCGCACCATTGTTCCACGATCTTCAGTGCAAGTCTCATTTGATCGCATGTAATGCTCTCAAAAGGACCGCTGATGAGAATGGTAAGATCGTCTGCATAGCCTATTGTGAGGAATCTTTGGTCATTGAGTTGTGCGATGAGCTCATCCACAACAATGTTCCATAGAAGGGGGGAGAGTACACCGCCCTGGGGGCAACCTCTAGCCACCACTCCTCTAGTCACTTCGCTCACAGTGAATTGTATAGCTCTATATCTTAGCATGCTGTCGATCCACCCTGAGATTGTGGAATCAACACCATGCCTAGAAAGAGCTTGGCTAATGCTGGTGAAGTTGGTCTTGTCAAAGGCTCCCTCGATATCGATAAAGGTGGCCAGTGTTGACCTTTTGTGATTTAGATTGTCTTCTATATATGAAACAACTCGATGTAGGGCAGATTCTGTTGATTTACCCATCGAGTATGCGTGTTGATTGAGGTGTAGAGGGTGACTGACTAACGCAGTTTCCCTGATTTCCCTATCTATTAGCCTCTCAAGAACCTTTAGTAGGAAAGATGTGAGACTAATAGGTCGGTGTGATTTGGGTTGTGTGTAGTCACCTTTACCAGGTTTGGGGATGAAGACTACTTTAACTTCTCTCCATTTCAAGGGGATGTACTGATGCGCCAGGCAGCCCCTATAGATTTTTATAAGATGGTCCAGTAATGTCGTATCAGACCATCTCAGTAGGCCTGGGAAGACACCATCTAGTCCTGGCGCCTTGAATGGTAGGAAGCTGTTAATTGCCCATCTTAGTTTGTCATGGGTGACAACTTTGCGGGCCGTATCCCAGTCTGTATCATCTGGTGGTTTTTCCCATCTGTCTTCCCATTTTTCCATCACATCTGATATGCGACATCCAGGGAAGTGTGTTTTTAATAACAGCTCTGAGGCTTCCGAGTCTGTTTTGGTATACTCACCATCAGGCTTCTTCAGTGAGCCAAGATTGTGTTCGCCTCTACTACACAGTATGCTTTTGACTCTATTGGCCTGGTTGTTGTTCTCTATGTTAGTACAGAAGTTTCTCCAGCACTCAGTTTTCCTGGTTCTGATTCTCTTCTTATATTGTTGTCGGGCCTGCGTGTAGGCATCCCAATGTTGGTCTAATCGCGAGTTTTTTGCTTTATTGAACAACTTTCTCACTTTACGACGTAGTCTTTCCAGTTCCGGACCCCACCATTGGTGTTTGTTCTGTGGTCCAGTTCTGGGTGTGGAAAGTGGGCATGTTTGTTCAAAGCAATCGATCAGTGTCTGTGTAAGGTTGACAACATGACTGTCAATGTCCTTAACAGTCCCCGTAGCGTATGTTGGGTTGATGCTTCGCAGATTCTCCGCAGTAAGATGTTCATACCGTTTCCGGTCCATCGTGCGGGGATTCCGTCGGGGATCGGGTAGTTTAAGTTTCATTTCAAAGTTAAATTTGATCCAGCGATGGTCTGAGCACGATGCTTCGTTCGAAACATGCCAGTTCGATATGTGTTGCGATGCGTGCTCGCTTGCTAATGTAAGATCAATTATAGTTTGGGCCCTGGACGTGACAAATGTCGGCTCCGAGCCCACGTTGATAATGTTAAGGTTGGTTGATAATAGGAACGATACAAATTCCTCACCTCTCCGGTTGTTGCTCCTGCTGCCCCACAGCGCATGGTGCGCGTTGGTGTCGGCAGAGATGATCAGCTCCAGACCCTCGCGCTCGCAGTGGTGTGCCAGCGCAGCCAGCTCCGGAGTGGGGATGTCAGCATCGCCCGGCAAGTAGGCTGATGCTATCACCACGTCAGGCAGGTTTGATGAGGGTTCCTTTAACCTAACAGAGGTAAGGTCTCTGGAACAGAACTCGGTCATTAAGGTAGTACACGCATGTTTTGGTGTATAAATACAAGTGCGCGGGTTATCAATGGTAGTGTTGAGAAGTATCTTACCTCCAATATTATTTAGACCGCAGATCCTGCCCTTCCTAATCCACGGCTCCTGGATTAGGGCTACGGTGTTGGTTTTTACCTCCAGCTCTCTGCGTAGGGTAGCCGTTGCTGTATGGCTGTGCTGGAGGTTGATTTGGATGGCTATAAGGGTGTTATGGGGGGGTGCAGACAGCGCCATCATCGCTGTTCAGCATATCCTCTATGTCGTCGAGGTCACTCTCGCCCACCGGTAGGTCCTCCAACTCCTCAGGAGGTGGACCCCGGCAGGCTGTTTCCTCAACGGGTCTCAGAGGATCCCCTCCATTGCCGTCCTTAGGGTGTTGTAGGGCCGATTCTCCTCCCCCCTCGAATGGCTCCTCGTTTGGGTTAGTTGGTGGGGCGGGACGTTCATCAAGGAAGCGAACGTAGAGGTTACCCAGTTTGTAGTATACTCTACGCTCGCTAGCCTTGAGCTTCACGACGTCCTCTTCTGGGATACCGAGCACTAGGAAGAGACATTTCTTTTCCTCCTGCGCCTCGGCATGGTAGAGGGCCCAGTTGGCCACATTGTACTGGCTATTCTGGTACTTTAGCCTCGTTTGAATACGGACCAGTGTATCATCTGGTCCGATTTGTGGTACCAGGAGTCCAGCCTTGATCCTTTTCGGGATCTCAGACTGCCTCCTGACGACCAGTTTGGTGCCTTCACGTGGTGATGGGATCCTTACCAGGGATCGGCGAAGCCACTGTAGGGCATATTCGTCGTTGCACCACATCTTAAGGGCGCCCTCACTGTAGAAGGCCTTGCCCCTAAACTGTGGCGCAGCGACGGGTGCGCTTGACGTGCCGGGCGAGAAGATCTCCTCATCTAGCACGCCCTGCAGCTGGCCCTCGATGTCCTCTGCCTGTGCCTTGGTGAGGTCGTGGTAAGGCTCCAGCATGACCGCGACGCAAAGGTCATGCGCCTTTAGTGCGTCGGAGTAACTCGTGGAGCCGGTCTTTGGCAGCGGTTTGAATCGCTTGCCACTGCCCTGGGGAGTGCGAGACTCGTCCGGGCGAGTTCTTTTGACGGGCTTTGTATCACTTGAAGGTTTCCCTCCACGTGTCGCTCGTCTCGCCCGTTTACCCTGTCCAGGTTGACCCTGCCTAGAGGGTACTTTGGCCGCTACAGGCGTCTTGGCAGGTGGCGCCCCCACAGGAGTACACTTCCCCGTGGCTTGACTTTCGTCTTCGCCTCGGGGCAGCACGTCACTGGCGGGGGCAACGTGGGCCCCTTCGGGCCCTTCAGCGACTTCAAGCCGCTTACTTCCACCCGAGTTCAGACACCGTGCTTGCCTTTCCACTCGGGCTTTCGCCCTGTTGGCGTTACGGGTCTTCTTGGACGGGTTTGGTTTTTTCGACGCTCTCTTCTTTGTCCTTACCAGGCTCCAGCCGGTTTCTTCCAGGCCGGGTCCCGCAGGTACGGGCATTGCTGCCCTCAAAGAGGAGAGGTCGATGGTCGACACTGGCTCCTTATTCTGGTTAGACACCAGAGGTGTCGCCAGAGTCGTGGATGGCGCTGCGGTCGGGTTGTTTGCCTGAGCAGCAGCCAATGGTGTATTTGCCGGATTCGCCCTTGGGTTGTTCACCCTGGGGTCAGCCGATTGGTGGTTTAGCCTGGCACTTGGGTTGTTCACCCTCGGTAAAGGCTTGGTGGTTTTTTTATTAATTGGTTTTTTAGTATCCATAGTTGTTTTGGTATACTATTCATCTCCTTGTCCTTCCACCCTCCTTGGAGCCCTCAAGTGGGGACGCCGCGGCAGAAGGCACACGACGCCAGAAGTGACAAGGAAATATAGAGCTCCCTCCCTGGCAGAAGGCAGGCCGAACTAGGTAGGAAGACTTGGTCGTCCCACCCGTCGTCCACCCCCACCAAAGAAGAGCTCTCGCCCAGCAGCCCTCTGACGGGATACTACAGCCGATTGACCAAAGGTGGCTAGCCTTCAGCCTCCCGTGTAAAGAGAAATCCAGGCCAAAGCAGTGTGTTGCCTTTCAGCTCAACTACCAGGATCCCTTCATCCTCCCTTACGGGTCCCCGCACACGGCACAAACATGCGGGTGGTTGCCCCCCCTCCCCCTCACTCTCAGTCTTTGTTGATAGTGAGGCCGCAGGCACCAACCACTTAGTGTCCGCAGTAGGTGTAGATGGGATAGAAAATGGGAACGGATAGGTTTTGTGGGATGGAATTGCGTCTGGGTGTTTCTGTTATATCTGTTTCGTAGGGAATCAGACCTAAAACAGGCGGCAACCACGGGAAGGATGACACCCAGACTTGCCATGGGGATCTACACGACTGTTGCGCTCTCCCCCATGACCATTCGCCGTGTACGCCCTCCGGACAGGAGGGCGTACCAGGATTGGATCTGCTCCAGGCGATCTTGGCCTATTGGAGCACACCCAACCCCGCCCTTACCACCTTACTCTACCACCTTAACAAGGTCTGATTCGGTATGATTTTTTCTATGGTTGACAAATTTTAATGTTTGTCTGTATGTATCACCATGAAAACTTCATCCATCCCTTTGAATCACTATGAAACATATATTCTGCATTATGAGACTCGTAACGTATAATGGAGTCAAAATAAACTCCATGGGCCAACACGTCACAGTAAACATAACATTAAATCCACCACCCAAAGGTAGACTAGGAGAAAATGCCTGTGACATTAAGTCTGCCATTGTTGTTTGTGCAAAAAGAATTAAATAGAAATAAATAAAAAAAAAAATCCCATCTTTTCCAATATTCGATAAGGATTCAGTTTGGAGTAATTTAACGTATTTCTTTATTCTAATATTCCAGTTAGAAGCTAAACAACAACAACAAACCGAAGAACACCTAACACAGTCACTTCCAGACATAGACGCAGACGTAAATAACAACATGCTTTGGGTAGACAAGTACCGCCCAACCTCCTATCTGGATTTACTTTCTGAAGAACCCGTTAATAGAGCACTGTTGCATTGGTTACATTTATGGGATAAGGTATGGACTTTTTGTATTAAGTTTTTATCACTCATCATCAACAGCCTTTAGTAGTCCACTGACTGGACATTCTTAGAAAAGAGGTTTTAGCCTACTTTACCAAGCTGGCCAGACAGATCATGTATATTTCGTTTTAATTTCTTGTTAATATTTGAGAATGTGCTTGCAGATAAATAATATATTAAAAAAGTCAGCTATTGATAGAATTTTTTCCAATATTGTTCAGTTTAATTTTAAATTGCGTGGAATTTATCGCATAATCAGATAATAGCTGAATGTGCAATTTTCAATCTTAGAATATTAATATAATACTATATTTTGTGTGGCTGTGCTCATGTAATAAAAAAAAATTGTCACTCAATTCAGGGTATCAATAGCACGTTTTTGGGACTTTTTTATATGGAATAACGAAGCAACGAGCAGACGGGTCACCTGATGGTAAATAAGTACCGCCGCCCAAGAATACCTGCTACTCGAGAGTCACAAGTGCGTTGTCGCCTTTTGAGCCCTCCCCATTTTTTTCTGTGCGGAAATCTCCTCGGATACCTCGCTCCGTTGAGATGGTGTCTATGGGTGATCACTTACCATCAAATGCTATAAAAAGTAACCTTTAAGTAATTGAGTGGGATACTAAAAGTTTTCCAAAAAATACTAGTGAGGTAATTTACAATGATTTAATAATTTGTTAATGTTAATTGACGGCCCTGTTGGTCTAGTGGTTAGTGACCCTGACTGCTAAGCGTGTCGTGGGTTCGATTTCCACCCAGGACAAATATTATGTTATGAGCACGGTCATTTTTTTTGTGCCTAGGTGTAATTTGTCTATAATATGTATGTATTTAAAAATATATAAGTATGTTTATCAGCAGTCTGGTTACCATAGCACAGGCTCTGCCTAGTTTGGGATCAGACGGCCGTGTGTGAGATGTGTAAGGTAAATTATTATAATTATTAATTTTAACCTAATTTTAGATAGTTTTCAAAAAAGAAGTGAAGACCAAAGAGCCACAGCAACGTACGACATTCAGTAAGCGCGCCGGCCAGTTCCAATTGACGAACAAATGGAAGGGTAAGCGGGAGACGGAACCAGAGGTGGACGAAGATGGCAGGCCGCATTACAAGGTGGCGCTACTGTGCGGACCACCCGGCGTTGGGAAAACTACTCTTGCGCATCTATTGGCTAGAATAGCTGGTAAATCTTGTTATTATATGTTTATACTATACCTTAACACAAAAATGTCGTGCTCTAATAAATCCAAAAATACCTCGTTCTATGCTACTATTCTGCCCCCCTTCCTCCCCTTAGAGAGGCGAGGAAAGAATTCGCAAATTGTTCAGACTGGAGTAGCTATACCATTGTTGGACAAATACTGCAACGCCATTCAATAACAAAGGTTATGTTACTACTACTAGGTAATAATCATTCTTCACTAATAATAGTAACTTTAAACCTCTCACACATACATGGCAGTCTGATCCCAAACTAATTCTACCTTAATATTTCTAAATACATTTGATTATTCATTAAAAGCCTTTAATAGTCCACTGCTGGACAAAAGCCTCTTCTTAGAAAGTAGGTTTGGGCCTACTATACCACGCTGGCCAGACGGGTAAAATACATATTAAAAAATATGTATTTTATATATTTCTAAATACATATTATAGATAAACTATTTATTTATTTAAAACTTGTTGCACATGTTGTACAAAGGCACTTAATGCCAAAAGAATGCCTCTTTTCTATTCCACCTAGATTCCACTGAGACAATTATCTGTCCTTAGTTGGAATCGCACCCACTACCTCCGACGTAAAAGTCAGGGTCATTAACCACTGGATCAACAGGCCAGTCATCATCATCATCAGCCTATCGCAGTCTACTGCTGGATATATGCCTCTCCCATTGCACGCCACTTCGGTTGATTTTCGGCTGAGGAGAAGACACAGCAAGCCAGTAAAATTCATTATAATTATCAGGATTTTAACCTTGGGACCTGCACTGCTGGACTTATCCCTTCCTCAACGACTTGTGAGAAGGCTGGTTTTAGCAACCTTTATCCACTATCAAACTGTTTATAATGTCCTTTCTCCACTTTGCCAGGGGACACCCTACGCTTTCCAGTCCATGGTCTTTTATTCATCAACCTTTCGGCCTTATGTGTTTTCTACTGATTCTGTTTTCAGGATATAGGCCTGTGGAACTGAACGCATCAGATGAACGAAGTACGGAAGCATTTCGTAACGCTATACAAAGTGCCACACTTATGCGGTCGGTGCTAGACGTTGATCGTAGACCCAACTGTTTGATATTGGGTGAGTCTTATTATTTTAAATCATCCTTTCCTTATGTATTTTTAATTATACGTAATGTACAAACGTACTTGACTTTTTATACAGAAGTAAAATCTCTAGCTTCCACAGTATACTGGTTATGAAGTCTATGTTTCGCTAGAGACCTTGTTTCTGTCTATTGCATGAAACATTTTGGGATTCTGTAACTTCATTTTGTAAGGAAATGACGTACCAAAGAAAGATGGCAGAAAGAGGAGAAGAGGTGAGAGAACTTTTACTGCTTCAGCTGGCAGAAGAGACACTTAAAATTTTAAAATCCCTTTAACTGAAAAAGGAAAATAGTATGGGCTAAATCCTCTACTCAGGTAGGTCATCACTGGTTTCAGAGTCGTTGGGGGATTTGTTCGGATTTTAAGGTTTTTTCCTATCTAGGGTTCTCTCTCGACTCGATCAACGCTCAGAGAGTTTAAAAAACTGTGCTTTAATTCCAATCTATCTAAATAGGGTTCCACAAAAGTTTGCTAGTGTCAGAATCAGAATCAGAATCATTTATTTGTAAACATAGGTCAAATTACAATAGAGTGTGAGATGTTATGGATAGGCAAATCCTCTATGTTTTGCCCAGGGGCGTACAAATATACACATTTTTACACATTTTACACATTTTCAAATGTACACTTTTTCAAATATCATAAATTTGTAGGATTATTTAAACTTCCACATTATTAATAACGTCAATGATAATAATTAATAATCACATGCATGTCAAAATAAATACAAAATACAGTCAATTTTGATAAATGTCAAACAAATTAATTTAATGTCAATTCAAAATCATTAGGATAGTCGAGGTATTGTACAATTTTCTGAAGTAGTAATTATAGAATTGTCGTCCAAATAGTCCTTTAGTGAGTAATAGCACTTACTTATCAAGATTTTTAATACTTCTCTTTTGAAATTGGCCAGAGTTAGCGTTTTAATTTTTTCAGGTAATTTGTTGAATATTTTGGTGGCCATACAGAAGGTACTTTTATTCATTAGTGCAGTTTTGCCATATGTCACTTGGAGTTCCGACTTATTTTTATCTCGTAGTTTTCTGTAGTAACTTTTAGTTGCTAGTTTGTATGATGAGATGTTGGATTTTACGAACATATTTGTTTCGTATATGTACAGAGATGGCAAGGTAAGAATTTTTAGACGTATGAAATACGGTCGACAACTGTCGGTGCTTTTTAGACCACACATAGCTCTGACACATCTTTTTTGGGCTTTGAATACAAGTTCTCTATCAACTGAATTGCCCCAGTATATTACGCCATATCTCAGTGTTGATGCAGCGTAACCGTGATAGGCCATTAGTACGGATTCTAGGCTTAGTATTTTTGATAGTTTATAAAGAACATAGGCAAATTTATTTAGTTTTTTACATACTTCGTCTGTCTGGGATTTCCAGGTCAAATTATTGTCTATATTAATACCAAGAAATTTAGTAGTAGTATTTGATTCTATTTTTGTCCCTAAATAGCTAATGTCAACGATTTTATTTGGTGTCCTTTGATAAAAATGCATAATTTTAGTTTTTTCTAAATTTATAATTAGATTATTATTTGCAAACCATGATATAATTATATTTAATGTTGTATTTATTTCCTTTTCATAAGTATTGGGATCATCACACTTAATCACTACAGTGCTATCATCGGCGAACAGAACCATGGGGTGGTTTATTTGCCCAGGAAGGTCATTTATGTAAAGCAAAAAAAGAAGGGGCCCCAGCACGCTACCCTGAGGAACGCCGTATTTAATTATCTCGCTTTCGGAACAATATTTTTTTTCAAAACTGGTATTTGAGCATATTTGGTAAATTTCTACAAATTGCTTTCTGCCCGTTAAGTAAGATCGAATGAGATCAAGTACATTTCCCCTGACACCATATCTTTCAAGTTTATGCATTAGTGTAGGATAATCCACATAATCAAAAGCCTTAGTTAAATCCATATAGATAGCACATACAGGATTTCTCTTATCCATATTTGATATAATAGGAAGAAGAAGGTCATGTATAGCCATATTGATTGACTTCTGTTTACGAAATCCCTTTTGTTCTTTTACCAGAATGTTTGATTTCTCTAGGTAGTTATACAAGGACTTATACATGACCCTCTCAAATATTTTTGAAAATATGGGTATCAAAGCGATAGGCCTATAATTTGACATGGTCTGTCTATCATTTTTTTTGTGCAATGGTACAATTATTGACATTTTTAATTTCTCGGGGAATATGCCGTTAAAAATACTCATATTAATTATGTGACTAAGATGTGGAGCTATGTACTGAGATACCTCCTTGATAACCCTAGTGCATATACCGTCATAGCCAGCACTATTTGTATTTCGAAGTGAGTTAATATGATGATTTACATCTTGAGGTGTGGTCGGCTCCATAAATAAAGAGTTTAAGGTATTTGAGCGTACGTTAATTTCTTGTATGGACCTTTTTTTTGGTCGTGTCATGATTAATTATCGACTAGGTTCATAAAAGGTTAATTTTATACAAAATAAGTTTAGCAATAAATGTACAACTATAAACTTTAAACATAGTTGACATTATTTTATTATTTCATGTCTATATCAGAATCAAATAAACCGAGGTAAGTATGTATTATTATTTATTTTAAATATATTTGTAAATTGTGTAACATTGCAAGGGACTATAAACAAACCTTTATCTCTACATAAAATACTTTAACTAAGTTAATACTTTGTCAACATAAAACAACATAAAGTCTTTATATTCTTACGTTAAATAAAGTTAAAAGAAATATCTATATGAACTTATTTTCCACTGAAGTTATTAAACATTAACAAAAATGTAATTTTTCTATATGCTACTTGTCGTAAAGTTGAATTAAGCTGGAGTCATTCATCGAGACTAGGATAACTGACAACACTGCTCACTCAGAATTTCCAACTTCATCTTTTTCGTTTATCATTTGAATATACCCAAACCAGTGCAGCATTTTATTCTCCTGTCTTGTCACTACGTCTTCTTTTAATCCACACCTTAAATAATAAAAAGGCGCATAATTGCATTTATAATAGGAGATGCTAGTTTTAACAAATATTTGTAACAATTTCAGATGAAATTGACGGAGCTCCATTACCTACAGTGGAGCTTTTGGTTCGATGGTGCACCGCTACGGCTACTGAGGGCAAAGGAAAGTCGAAGACTAAGACCCAGCCACTGAAAAGACCCATTATTGCTATTTGCAATGACTTATATGCTACATCGCTGAGACCGCTCAGGTAAGTTCTTGGGTAGTAGAAATTTGGTAAATAACTGTTATTTCAATTGTATGATAGTCGCGTCATAGTTCTACCACGTAGGCAATATAAAAAAGACGCATACAAACACTAACGCATATACGTATGAACGCATATACACTCGTACGTACGCACAGTAGTAAAATTCACGTGTAGACGCGTGAATTTTAATTCTTTTTACACTTCCAAGGATATCGGAAAAGGATATAACTTTACAAAGTATAAAACAAAGTCGCTTTTATGTGTTGTACGCTTAGATCTTTAAAACTAAGCAACGGATGTTAATGCGGTTTTCATCAATAGAAAAAGTGATCCAAGAGGCTGGTTAACATACATATAATCGTAGAGAAAATCCAAGAATTTCAAAGATTTGTAATGTAAAGTCGTAAAAACATGTTTTGCGCGCTTACATTGTAAACGCTGGCTAAACTTCACGATATAGATCAAAATAATGTACTATGAAATAGTGTATCTTAAAAAGATTTACAAAAAATGCCGCGACGGTATATCTCTATCTCCTAAGGCTAACCCACCTATTTAAAAAAATAATATTTTGAATAATACGGTATTATTCCTTATCCAAATAAATACGTCTGATACGTTTTGCATTTTATGTAGATTAAAGTTTCCTTGGACAGCATATCATGTAAATGAACATCTTAGTAGATATCAGAGATTTAAAATGTGGGAACAAAGCGTCCGTTCAGGGTGGCACCGGCCAGCCGGAGCGGAGCGGCCCTAATATAGCATATAAAGATGTCCTGTAGTCTTATCATAATCACCAGAGCTAGTACAGTACGATCACGTCCTCAGGGCGGTGTCGCTGGTGGTGCAGGTGGGCGGCGCGTCGGCGGCGCGGCTGGCGGCGCGCCTGGCGCACGTGTGCGCGCGCGAGGGGCTGCGCATCAACGCGCACGTGGCCTCGGCGCTGGCCGCGCGCGCGCAGGGCGACGTGCGCGCCGCCATACAGGTGCTCAGCTTCATCAAGGCCAAGGCCAAACGACCACAGGTTATACATCTAATCGTATCGTTATAACTCGCTTGTACGAGTAGAGGCCTACGCGGTTAGTTTTTCGATATAGCGCGATCGAGTCTGGCACAAACTTCTTTCCCATGCGGACAGAAGCATTCGAGTCTGTACTTAAATGCTGTTTTTCCAAGACTATAATATATATATATTACCCACGATGTTTGTTCTGCATAACTACGATTGCAAATCAGCAGCACTAACGCACATTCCTGTGCGGTATCTACATCACGGTGACTTTTATACTGACCACACCTACATTTCTCGGGAAAACATCATCAAGAGCCTAACTAAACTTCGAAACCGAGTCCAATTAAACCCTATAAAACACACAGGTGTGTACGTTCACTGCCAATAAGATACACGAAATCTATGTAGTTTCGCGGTCACTTGAGTAAAGCCAAATTAGCCTGAAAGAAACTTGGTTTAGTAAACAGATCGAACCTGTATTTCACTTAAGCTCACTACTTACAACTTTATAAAACCCAAGTTTCTTAAAAAGATCTATCTTAAAAATATATAGAAATCTATCTAAAAAGATCTATTACAATATAGCAACGCTGTAATGTGTACTTACTACTTCTTCACTCGTGTAAAGGCCAGACGCGTTGCTTGTAATTAAAACTATAATGTTATACAAGAGTGACAATTAATATAAACGTATTTATGTAAATATTTTAGCTCAGCATGGCTGACGTTGAAAACGCTGCAATAGGAACGAAGGACTGCCACAAGAGTCTCATGCAAGCTTTGCAAGCAGTGTTCACTGTCAACGATAAGGACCCAGGCGCTTTACTGAAAACTATTAATGCCGCTGGCGAATATGATAGGTACGGATTTGTTTGTTTGTTATTTATACAGTCAATATTATCCTGATAAATGCCAAAAATAAAACCACCAATGCCTAATGGCTGAAATTCACTTGTAACAACTTTTATAAATAATATATTTTGCCCGCCAGTTCATAACTAACGAGGCAAAACCTCATCTAAATACAAATAGGTAGAGCCATTTCCAAGAAACAGGTAACACATACTTATGAAAAATATAAACAAGAATTTCTTCTTTAATTTTCTTAAATTTCACCATATTTTATATTATTTACATCTTACATGAAGACTTGCAGACGGTATATTCGAGCACTACCTAACGGCGCGAGTGGACGGTCGTTTCCGCATCGCTTGTGAAACGTTATCGTGGCTCATGTTACACGACACGATCAGCAGCTGGACCTCACGCACTCAGAACTACTCCTTGTACAGCGCTTTGCCCTTGTGTTTGGCGAGTTGTCACTCCGTACTAGCGAGTAGAACTCCGCAAAGGATTGGGTTCCCTAAACAAGCGATGGAGGTAAATAAAATTTTGTTTTAACATTATAGGGGACAAGCGAGCAGAAGGATCACTGGATGTTAAGTGATTACCTATCGTTGCCAACTGAGACACAACTTAGTTGTAAACTCTCCCAGGATTGCGGAAGGCGGTGAGTGAGGCCGTGGTATCATTCTGGTTGAGCCGGCCCATATGTGCAGAAGCCTGACTTCCCCATGAAAAAATACAAACCAAACTTACAGGACCTCAATTCTGCTATTTTATGTTAACGTTCAATCCACTGTCATTCCATTGACACGCTATTGAGATGCCATTGAAATCGGTCAATACATCGGTATTCTAATAACATAAATTCACAGTGTCAATAGACTGTAGATGTAGTAACAATGGCTCATCAGTAGTGATATTAATAACATCGCGATATCTGAAAAGTTAAACATAATTTCCTTAAATATTTAAAACATACCGTTTACCAAACTATTACAAAGACATCGACGACATTTGTATCAGAGGCCGTGGGATTTTATGTAGTAGAATACGAAAAGTGCAAAACTATTCCGACGACTGTCGATTGACAGTCTATTGATTCAATATTAAACTAGCAGGATTGAGGCCTAGTAAATCTGTGCCCAGTAAGAAAATCGACAAACATTTTGCAGTTTCGTATCGTATTACCAATTTTTTTTGTACTTGTTCTAGATGCACCGTACTAAGGTTGAACTTGACAGTATTGTGTCAGCAGTAGAACGCGGCAGTTCCCCATCAGTATCCAACAGCCGGTCTGCGCTGCGATTTGACATTTTGCCGTTGGCGCCATACTTACTGACACCGCAGTTACGGTCCGCCAATGTACAGGTAATAAAAATTTTGCTTACACCAAGTCCTTGCTAAATATAATTTCATAAACTATGTATGAATGTGAGATCTACAAAACTATTTTAGCAAACTTACAGGGCCTCAATTCTGCTATTTTATGTTAACGTACAAGCCACTGTCATTCCATTGACACGTTATTGAGATGCCACTGAAATCGGTCAAAACATGGGTATTCTAATAACATTAATTCAGTGTCAATAGACAATTCTAGTATTAGTTTTATTGCTATTTTAGTTTAGTTTAAATTTAATTAATGTAACTACAATATCGCATTGGAAAAATTCTGTCAAGATATTGTAAGAAAATAAAAATAAAAAAAAATAAAAAAAATAAGCCTATAAATATATTATGCACTATTTTTTGAAATGTTCATGTCTTCAGACATAGATAGATAGAATATAATTTATTTGTGCCCTTTAGTTTAGTAAATCCTTTGACTCTACTAGGTATGTGTTGCGAACACTACTGCTTTTCGGGATGAAATATCTTATTTTCTGTACTCCTGACAATCTGTGTGCACAATATTATAATCATTGGTCAAATCTATAGTCCATTTGTATCAAGAGAATAATGAAGCACCGCTCAAACCTCAGTTTAAAAACAGGTTCTAAGAAATTTTTGTTTCGTAATAGCCTTTAATAGTCCACTGCTGGACATTGGCCTCTCCTTAGAGCCTGAGTGCCACCACTGCAGTGGCCAGACCGTGGACACGGCTCTCCACACGCTGGCAGAGTGCCCGGCGTGGGTTGAGCAGAGGTGAGACCTCTTGGCGGCCATCGGAGTGGGAGTTGTCTCGCCAGATAGCCTGATTGCGGCTATCGTGCGGAGCGAGAGTGCGTGGAACTCTGCCGTCTCCTTCTGCGAGCAAGTTATGCTCGCGAAGTAGACGGCAGAGGGACGACGACGACGGGACCGGGAGAGGTTAAGAACTCTCCCAGCCCGCCAGGCCCGGGAACGGGCCAGGTACCGCAGGCGACTCAGGCGCCGGAGGTCGCAGAACGACTTCCGTCCTCCATAAGCGCAGGCCTGGGGGTGACAGGTGAGGCCATCTGTCACCCTAGCAGAAGCAGACCGGGGTGGCGGCGAGCGCGTTGCGAAGCGCGCTCTCTTCCAGGGAGCAGAGGGAACATGGGGTTCCCACACGGGGGGGGGAGGGGGTCGTCTACTCGTCTGTAGATGGCCCGAGGTATGTCGGGGCACATGGGACTTTCTTTCTAGGGTATACCTGGTTCCCCGGCTATTAGTACCCGAGACGGCGTGCGGTTTTAGTCGGTTCGAGTCCGACATGCCACCGACAGGTGGTATCCGAGGGGATTTCCGCACTGACAAAAAAAAGGCCTATCCTTAGAGGTCTATGTCCAGCAGTGGACATAGGCATATTAGGTTGTTGCCTACTATACCACGTTGGCCAGGTATAGGGTAGGGTTTGTGTCAAGATTTCCTTCTCTTTGCAGTGCTGTTGTCCGACGTAGTTTGCTTCCCTTTTCTACACGCACGGGATAAATAGGGATGGTGACACTCCGTATTATTTAATCCGTGACCACATGAAATATTTCCGTAGATATTAGGGCTGCAACCTGATTGGTCAGGGTGCAAAGCTTGATTGATGCGTCACTGTTTTCTTAACGCGAACTCTTAAGATTGTGGATTTAGAGTAATTTTTTTGTGTTTGTTTAGTTTTGTAGTGAGGTGGAGCGCAAGACTATCCGCGTGTGCGCTAGTGCCATGTGTGACTACGCGCTGCAGTACGTCCAGGTCCGCTCCGGGGAAGGGCTGTACACCTACGTCCTCGAGCCTGACGTCAACAAGGTTGCCTTCTTCGGTTAGTATACATATAGTTCGAATTGCGATTTGTTGTTACCGTCATTATATAGCAAACACACAGTAGTAAATATCTAGCTGACGCCCGTGATTTAATTTTACATTCAACTTTCATCCCTTATATTACCCCCTTCAAGGTTAATTTCGGAACAAATGATGTACTTTGTCCTTCTCCAAGGACCCCGTTTAGGGTTTCCAACGTAGCAAACGAAGTTACTTTCGCGTTTGTGAAATCAGTATACAGTTTGATTTGTAACGTAGTAACAATATCAAAATCCACTTTTACTCTAAAACTCTGTTGTTTTAAGGTCAAAATACCTGTAATTTTGTGTTTTAAAGTGATCCTTGAAATAAAAGTTGATTTTATTCATTAACTACTTCTATAAAAAATAAATCTGAATATATAAAAGTGTTGTGTTGTTGTTGGTGTTAATGTATAAAAGTGAGTTTTAAAATTTCATTTACAATTATTTTAATAAAATTGTCTTATTAAAATTTAAACTTCAGTCTTGAATGTTTTTAGACCAAAAAATTGCTCTAATAATTATTATCTTTTCACTCAGGTTCTGAAGAGAAGGTGCGACCCCCACCGGCTATTCGACAAGCGATAGCTCGCGAACAACAACTGGAAGTCATCCGGCGGAATGAAGAGATGGTGAGAAAATAGTTCTTCATTTTAATAGTTTTCTAAATTGAAATCTCTCTCTTTTGGTTTATACACTGTCTATTGACCGTCTTCCTTTCGAATGAATGTCGAGTACTGATTTTGATGTATAGTTGTGTGAAGAAGTCAGTATGAAGCAGTATTTACAAAATTATTAAGTTGGCAAGAGTGCGTCCTACCATTGTCTCAAGATTTCTTAGCCTTATTTAAAAAAACAACATTCTTTTGACTGTTAATAGGGAATACGTAGGTATTTTTCAAAATGTTTTAATTCTGCATTTATGTACACAACATTATTGAAATAAAATATAATTATCGGAAAAAATAACACATACAAAATTGAAATAAATATGTTTCGTGTAATTTAAACGGCTGTAATATGGTTTCAAGGATGTTAAATAAATGTCACAGTGAATTATTCATTAACAATGCAACATCAATTCGTGACTAGTGTCTACAGCTCAATTATTGTATTGTGATTGATGTGCGTATTAAAAGACACCGGTAATTGCTTACCAACATGTCAACATATTTTGTCTTGTATAGAAAAACAATAAAAGTAATGAAATTTACTTTTTCTTATTAGGCGAACAGAGTTCCCGCTAGAAGCAAGACCGATGACGTTGCGCATCCAAGTACTTCAAAGAAAGATGATAAACAAGGTGGTACCGGCAAGGCGAAACAGAGGGCGCTACCTAATCATTTACAGCAGCTGAAGCCGAAAGAAATCACTAAGATCACACCTCAGGTATTTATATCTGTAGTATCGTTAAAAGTTAAACTAATAACTAATGATAAATTTGTTATTATTCCTGCTGGAATTTTTTTTCAAACTTGGAACACAGGAACTATAAATAAAAAAACAAATGTTATGTGTCCATATCAAAAATAAATATTTTTAAAATAATTCCATAGACTACAGATCGAATCGAATACGTGACTATGCAATTTAAATAACAAAGACAACTTGCAGAAAATAATTATGTTATTTTTTATTAATATGATTATCTTATGATCATCCCAAAATACTATGTATCTTGTGATACATAATATGTTGTGATGGACACTCACATTATGGAATAAATGTAAAAAAAAAACATTAACATGGCTTGTTACATTTTATCGTAAATTTCATAACGAATACAACTGTAATAATAATAATAAATTGTTTATTGTAACAAAAGATGCATACAATTAAGTGCACGCCCTGATTCCCAAACTAGCGAGAGCTGTATATGGGGGTCAGTGCCTTGCCAAAAACATGATACCATAAATTTTTATAATTATCACGTGGAACATACAAAGAAACATTGAAGCATACTTTCAAAAAATATTTTGTTAATTTTGCGTGTACAAGTGTGCGTGTATTTTTAAGCTGTTCACATTATCGTAGGCTAAACTGTTATGTTATATTTTATTTGTTAATTCGATAAATGTCTTGTAATTTAAATTAAGTTTATTATATATGCTACTATTAAATTTATTATATATGCTACACTCACAATTTAACATTCCACACAGTCGTACTAAATAAAGGATAAAAGTTCTTAAGTATATCATGAAGTGTGAGCTACCTTGAAATCGGGATTTTGTCTATCATCAAGTTATGGATATTTGATCAGTCAAGACAGTAATGTTATACGGTCGGTAGATTTTTGTGTTATCTAGTAGCGCTATTGCACACTAGATGGCACTGCCTATATGTCTTTTCAAATATTAACTTTTCGCAGTTGTAATAAGAGTATAATTTAAATAACAATAGTGTATTTAAAAGAAAACGGATAATGGGAAACAACCATCAGATATACTTGTAAACAATAATTTTTAGTTAAGTTGTTTCTCAAAGGTTTTTTTTTATCTGTTAATCAAATTAACCCCGTATGAGCAAACTGATAAACTTTTCAGTAGAAACAAAAAATATATTTAAAATCACGTCTATTATTAATTTTTTTGTTTACTTAAGCCAAAACAATATATGCTTTGCCAAGTCAAATGTAAAAAATATTTTTGTTTAATACTTTAGTTTAAAAATCTAATTTCACTAACAAATGTACACCTTCGAAATGATTTCCGTATATATACATTATTATATGCTAAGCCTTCTTTATTAGTTCCTTTTTTTCTTTGTATTATTTCTTTTTTATAGACCAATTATAGACCTTTTTTTTTGTTAGCTCAATCATATTTTATTTTAACCTAATTGTCGATATATGGTGTCATATATGGTCTGGACCCCACAGCCTCATAGAAACGTTGCTCTTCACCGAGTGAGAGAGGGTGGTGGATCACCTAAACATCCCTCACACTAAGTTCACAAGCAAATATACTAGTTATAAAAAGAAAGGCGAACAAACTAAAGCATTCATATCGCGAATCAGAATACTTGTGCACAAAACAGCACTCCTAACAGGGTTCCGTATTATCAAGCAAAAGAACTCGTTACGGTATGAATGGGCGCGCAGATGAAGTTTGCACTTATGATGGAATATATTAGCGCCTGTGTAAGGAACACTCTCATATTTGATACTCTTTTTTAATTGCAACGAAATTTTGTCTGCGCGGCCTTGCCTAGGGAATTTTAGGTTATTTTCGAATGCGGTCATAGGTTTTGAGTGTGTGTCAAAGGTAGTTGTTCTACTGTCTTTAGGAATGATCTTAGATATAGTAATGCTTTAAGTTTTCAAATTATTGTTTTTGTTATCATAACACAGCTAAGTTCGCGTAAATTGTACGCAGTCCTTTTTACTGCCGCAGAAGTAGGATTATGTATTTTGAGTGTAAGTATATAAGTATTTATATTTCTTTGGCACGCTCTGTTGCCTAAACGGCATTATGGATTTTGCTGTTTAAAATGTCGTTACATTCGCCTTAATTATGACGAATTGGGTATATGATATAAATAAAAATCGCCGGTTTGTAAATTTTAAGTAAGTATATATTTTCACGCAGTTGTTTTTTTAATTATCATGTTAATTGATTTTTTAAGTATTGTGAGTTTAATCATCGTAGACAAATCTCTCTCTCTAATGAGAACTCTCATGAGAAGAGACAGAAAGAAGAAGAGTATTACTCTAAAAGTATACCTAAAGTTTATACAGTGATATTTTATCAAACAAAAATGTTTCATACAAAACATACAAAATTTTAAGTCGTGTATTATTAAATAATTTATAAAAGAAATGTATGATCTAGCGTAATAGGTTGTATGTTTGGCTTAAGTCAACTTAGTATGGTAAGGTAGGTATTGAAGGCAAACGAGGAGCTGGGTCACCTGATGTTAAGTGACTGTCTCCGCCCATAGACAGCTGCAACTTAAGTCACTGGTGGGTTAATGCCCTACGAGCCCTCAACCTCTGACGGTTTGTGTCGCCTGTAACCTCACACACTCGTTAAAAAGCAAGGAAAGAGTTTTTTAACGCCGACTTTCGTCGGTCGTGGTATCGTAACAATCGAGCCCGCTCATATGTAAAGAAGCATGTCTCACTACTCTCTCATTATATAAATATTGTAATTTATTCATCACATCATCATCATCAACAGCCTTTAATATTCCACTGCTGGACATAGGCCTCTTCTTAGCAAGTAGGTTTTGGCCTACTATACCGCGCTGCCCAGACGGGTTGGTATAGGGTTTGCGTCAAGTTTTCCTTCTCTTTGCAGTGCTGTTGTCCAGCGCAGTTTGCTTCCTTAGTCGGCTCTTACGACACCCACGGACACTTGGTATTCTTAATCCGTCACCACACGGATGTGTAATTAATGTGTAATTTATTAACACGCTTTTATTAGCTTGGTATGTATGTACCCACTTCAAAACGTCAAATTGAAACTTCATACATTTAACGAGGACTGATGACCATACAAACATTTGATAATTTTTTCCGAAAATCCTGATCAGGATCTTCAGGATTTATGGCTTTTCCATATCTAAAAATAAGGTAGTGTCTTTTGCTACGTATTTAGAGGCGTGTGCTAAAGCATATGTGACCTACTTATTTGTTACTTTTTGTCTTAATGAGGAAAAATAGCAAAACTAAGATATTTTTTATAATTTTCTAACTAAAGTAAAACCAAACTAAACGAATTAAATGCTCTAACACGCAACACCAGCTACACATTGTGCATATAATCTTATAGTCTCTATCTATCCCTGCTTTAACGTTCTAGATCCCATTTTAATATTAATGTATATCCTAAGAGAAAAAATATTTATTCAGTTATTTTTTTAACATTCAAGTGTCCTGTCTGAACCCTACCTGTTCATATGTAAACACGTCACTACATCATAGTCACGTAATCGCAGCGGGGCCCGCATAAAAAGAAATGATTAACCCATCCGCCACTCGCACTTGTCACCTTCTCGGGCACCGAAGGACTGTGTACGACTACTGCAGCTCTTATATGCGCAAAGTTGCCACATGCTTGTTCTATCTCACTCTGGAGTAGGTAGTATGTACCCCTTTTTCTCGTTAAATATTATCAGACTTAATACAAACATAATTTGTTGAGATTCTAGTACTCCAACGACATTTTTTTATAATTGTATGTTCATAGCCTATTTTACGGTACCTTAATCTATATCTATACTAATAATAGTAATATATCTATACTGCATTTTAAATCATCGCGTTAACAGTATTATCACTTTTTCTAAGATATCTCCTATGAACGTAGAGTGGATTTATACGAGTTTGAAGGTATGCGACACAGCTATACTAACAAAGTAAGAAAGTTGTTTTTTATATATTTAACGCACTGTTTGCTAGTACTATTAGTCAGCAACCAACTGAAAAATATGTAGGTAATAGACTACCCATTGTTTCTTCCCATTTACTGTCGATTTGTCCGTCCAAAGGTTGCCTGTAAGAGGTTGCCGCTCATTCTACATGTCTGTTTGTAATATTTATCTAACATATTGTAATTGGTGTACAAAAAAGAATATTCTATTCTATACACTTGTATATTTTGCATGGAAATTAAGAAAAAATGCGTATAGTTCTAGTCTTGAGGTATGTTTATAACACTAAGGCTGTCAAGTATCACACGACCCAACGCCTTTTAAGAAGCTAAACAGTAAACAGTAAACAGTTGAATAAAAACGAAATGGAGTAATGGGAAACAGCTGGTTTAAACGTGTTATTATATTAGGGGTTAATGTATGACATTGCAGCGAGCCAATAATACGTACCGTGAGCGGACTATCACTTTTGTGCCTCGTCCAGATTGATGTAATAGTATATCGAAGAACATTATAAAAACCAAATTAAAACAAAAAAATAATTAAATGTTTTTTTTTGTATTTACGTTAAAACATTTAGATATTTAGGCCGTGTAAAAGTAGTAAATGTTAGGTTATTTTTTCTTTTATTTTGTTGGTATATTTTTGTCTAATCTATTTGTTTTTTTATAGTTTTTATTATTTTATTTATTTAAAGCTTAATGCACATGTAGATGCACATTGAACTTGTTGTGTTATTGTTTAAGATATGTTTTTTTTGTAAACGATATTTTTTATTCAACTTTATTAAATAATAAAAGTGGGTTTCTTATTTTAAAATATAAGAAGCACTTTAAGATATAATAACGCATATTCGTAACTAATTTCATAAATACCAAGTTTGGTTGAAAGTTTAAAGTTTAAAGTTTAAAGTTAAAAGTTAAGTTAAGTTTAAAGTTAGTTTGTTTTTTTAAAGTTTCTTAATGGCACTTAATTACATATTCAAACTTCTTTTTCTGTGATAAAATTGTGAT